GCTGCAAAAGACCTCTTTAAAGTGTTACAAAGCAAAGATGTCACCTTGAAGACTAATGTGCACCTGACCCAAGCCATGGTGTTTTCAATCGCCTCATATGCATGGGAAAGCTGGCCTATGAATAAGGAAGAAGAATTGATGCCTTTGAGTTGTGGTGTTGGTGAAGAATTATTGACTATGCCATGGACTGCCAAAAGAACAAACAAATCTGTCTTGGAAGAAGTACAACCAGAATTCTCCTTAGAAGCGAGGATGGTGAGACTTTGCCTCATGTACTTTAGACATGTTATCAGCTGGGATCAGCTTCTGGAGAAGGACATCATGCTTGGTAAAGTAGAGGGTCAGTGAAAAAGAGAAAGACCTTCAACGAGATGGATTGACAGGGGCTGCAACAATGGGATCAAGCATAACAAGGATTGTGAGGATGGTACAGGACAGGGCAGTGTTTCATTCTGTTGTACATAGGGTCACTATGAGTTGGAACTGACTCAGTGACACCTAACAACAATTAGGAAGTTTAAAATTACATAGGTGGTTTGTGTTATATTTCTATTGGGCAGTGCTGCTGTAGATAGTCCTTTAAGGGGTTACTTGTCCTTCAAAAAGTCTTTTTTCTTGGCTTTCGTGACTCCCTACTCTCCTGGTTTTCTTCTCAGTGTCCTGGCTGGCTGGCCTTCTCTTCCTCAGCTCATCTATTAAACAGTGCCACTCTGTCCTAAGTCCTCATGTCTTCTTGGCCATCATGCTCTTCCAGGGAAAGCTCATTCATGTCTCTGGTGTCAATGCCCAACTCTTTTTTTTTTTTAAATTGAGATATGATTCACATACCGTGAAATTCACCCTTCTAAAGTGTACAATTTAGTGGTTTTTAGTATATTCACAAGGTTGTGCACCCATGTGAGATATACATAATTTGACCTTTGTCCTTGGTACCTGAGAGACAACCCTTGGAATCTAAGTGTCTTCGATAAAGACTCCAGACTACACCTAGCTAACAGGTTAGATGTGGTGATGAAGTGACTCTGGAGTAGGGGCTGGCCAGGCCAGAAAGATCACCTCATGGTCAGCAGACCTCAGGGGAGGGGGACTGGAGGTTGTATTACATAATGAGACCCCCCAGTAAAATCTCTGGACACTGACGTTCCATGGGTTTCCTGGTTGGTGCAAGGCATCCATGCACGTGAGAAGGTAGCAGGTCTCTTCGGGACAAGGAAGCTTCATGTTGGCAACCCTCCGAGACCCCACCCTATATGTCTTTTCTTTATACTGATTTTGATTTTGATCTTTACAATAAAACTGTAAGTACAGTATAGCACTTTCTATGAGTTCTGTGAATCATTCTAGTGCGTTACCCGAAGGAGTTGTAGGAGCCAGCAAGTCAGAAGTTAGGAAGCCCAGGGGGGACTCCCAAACTTGCTGCTGGAAACTGCCTGTTTAGCAGTGTGAAGGACAGAGTCCTTTTATTTGTGAAATCTGACCTAGCTCTGGATGGCCAGGGTCAGAGAAAGAAGTGCCACAATGGTGGCTGGGTCAGCAAAATGAAAAAGTGGGGATTTGGATTTATGCTGATTATTATCCTCATAAACCACCAGTACTATCAAATTCCAGAATACTTTTCTCACCCCTCAAAAAACCCCAGACTCACTAGCCATTCCCCTCTTCCCCAGCCTCTGAAAACCGTTAATCTACTTCCTGTTTTGTGGATTTTTCAGTGTGTAGCTCTTGACTCATAAATCCACCTGCCTCCTGGGAAACTCCATTTGGATGTGCCTTGGGTATTTTAAACGTAAGCAAAACTCAGCATCTTTATCCTATATCTCTTCTCCACAATTATCCAAGCTGCAAATCTCTGACATCCTTAACTCCTTTCTGACCTTCCCTCACACATCTAGTCAGCCGTCTACTAAGTTTCACAACCTCCTACTTCTCTCTCATAAATATCTCGATTCCGTTCATTGACACCAGACGCTGTCATGGTAAATGCCTTCTGCCCCCAACACACACACACACACACACACACACACACACACACACACACACACACACACACACACACACACACTCCAATCCATCAGCAATTCTCTTAATTCTACCATCAAAATATATCTTAAATACTTCCACATATCTTTGTCTCCACTTCCACCACCTGAGTCCAGGCCACTCACCTAGGCCATTGCCACAGCATCTAAAAAGTCTCTGCTTCTCCCTCTCCCCTAACATTCCAATTCATTCTAAACACAAGGGCCAGATGGTCATTTAAAAATATAACTAGATCATGTCATGCTCTGCTTAAAACCCTTGATGACATCAGTATTAGTTCCCCATGGCTGCCGTAACAAATTACCACAAACTTGATGGCTTAACACAAGAGGTCTGAAACCAAGGCGTGTCAGGGCCATAAAAAACTCGTTGCTCTTGAGTCGTTTCCAACTCATAGCGCCCCAATAGGACAGAGTAGAACTGCCCCATAGCGTTTCCAAGGAATGGTTAGTGGATTTGAACTGCTGACCTATTCGTTAGCAGCCCAGCTCTTAACCACTGCACCACCAGGGCTCCCCGCTCCATCCAAAAGCTCTAGAGAAGATCCTTCCTTGCCTCCTCCTATCTTCTGGAAGCCCTGGATGTTCCTCAGCTTGTGGTAGTATAACTCCAGTCTCCTCTGTCTTCACATGGCGGTCTTCCCTGTGTCTCTGGGTACTCTTCTTTGAAAGGACACCAGTCATAGGATTTAGGGCCCACCCTAAGTCCAGGATGATTTCATCTTAAGATCCTTAGCTACTTACATCTTCAAAGACCCTATCTCCAAATAAGGTTACATTCTGAAGTTCTCGGTGGACATGAATTTTGGGGGGACACTATTCAACTCACCACAGCATCCCACTACATTTGAAAAAAGAAAATCCAGTTTTTCCAGGTGTGTAAGAAGCTTCTCCTGCTTCTCCACCTCATTGCATGGCCCTCTTCCCATCACTGACTGTGTGTCAGCCACATGGACATTCTATGTTTAATGTGCCAAGTTCTTTCTTGGTCCCTTCTTACTTGTTTCAGGTTTCGGCTTAAATGTCACCTCCTCAGAGAAGACTTTCTGAGCATTCTACATAAAGAAGGTGCCCATTCTCCCCCATTTGTTTCCTTCATAACAATCACAAAATAAAACCTATTTTGCTTCTTTGCTGGCTTTTTCGTCAGCCCCATCCTGAGATTGGAGGCTCTGTTTTGTCCCCCACTGGAGCTTTACAGAGAGGCTCAGGTACATATTTTTTTCATTGAATGAATGCATGAAGGAGTGTCCTTTCCCTAAGTCACACTGGCACTCTCTCTCACCCAGACTACTTCACCTGCTTCCTCACAGGCCTCTCCCTCCTGTCTATCTCACACTTCAGCGTAGGGATTGTTCTATAGGGGGTATGGCATCCCCTCCCTTCCCTCCTCTCAGTTAAAAACCCTCCACCAGCTTCCTCTCGAACTTACAACAAAGTCCTCCTGCCTGGCTGGCAGGCTGCACTGCCTGCCTCTTCCCACCTCCTCTCAACGCTCAGGTCTGCAACCCTGTCCTAGTTCTTGTCTCAGGCTGGGCCCTCTCTCACCCACCTCGCTTACTCCGTCCCATCCTTGGCTCTCTCTTTCCTCAGAAGCTTCCCAGACCCTAAATCAGGGCAGGGGTCTGGGTCTGGCCTCAGCGCCCCCCACTGTAAACTCTGGTTTCCAAGTCCGTCTTCCCCACTAGTCTGGGAGAAGGGAGGACAGGGACCGAGCAGGTTTTGCCCTGAGCCCTGCGGAGAGGAAGGGACGGGACGGGACGGCACCGGAGGGCAGGGACTCACCAGCGCTGCTGGCTCCGCCGCTCGGCTTCCAGCAGCTCCCTCCACAGCTGGTCCTGCTGCACGCCTTCCGCTCCCAGGGCCCCCCGCTCCGCCTTCGGGGCCTGGAACTCCTGGCGGCCGCCAGCAGGACCCCTGCGCGTCGCAGCGCCACTCCGAGCAGCTGGGGAGACTGGGGCCCGAAGCTTGGTTGGGGGCAATCGGTATCCCGCCGATGTGGTTCTCTGGAGCCCAGAGATGGGGCGACTCCCCATGGGTGCGTGAGTGTGTGTGTGTGTGTGTGTGTGTGTGTGTGTGTGCGCGTGCGCCCGCGTGCACGCGCTTGCCTGCCTGCCCCTGTGTGGATGGGTGTGTGAGTGCGGCTCCTCCTCCCCCCAACCCTCTCCTCAGCCACCAGAGCTGGTGCAAGGATCCTCCTCGCTGCCCCCGCTGGGCCCCCAGCTAAGAGTGGCCAACCGGCTGGGCCCTCCAAGCCCTGCAGAGCTTTTGAGCCCAGCTGTGCTTTGAAGTCCTGCCCATGTTGACTGTCACCCTGGGAACAGGCAGCTCCCAGTGTCCCCAGGATGGGCGGGTCCCTTGAGGGCCTGGTGTGTGTGCAGCTCGTCTGAGCCCAGGGGTGAGGGTGTAGAAGTTTCTGGGTCTGTGCCATGCCAACTCAGTAGCCCTTGGCCCCTCTTCCAACACCCCAGAGGGAGGCCACCACACAGTATTGGGGGTGGGGTGGGGAGGTAAGGAGCCAAAATCCTGACTCCTGGCAGTAAGAAAAGTCCCCAGCTGGCCGAGGGACATGCTCATCATCACCATCCATCCTTGGACAGCCCCCGCCCCTCTGGAGGACTCAGTTTCCTCTGGTGGGTGCTGGGAGGCTCAGAGGAGATGACGGATGTGAGGGTGCTTTGTGAATTATAGAGCAGATCTTTCCTGCTTCTATCTGGGAATGATGGAAGAGATAGTGAGTATATGCCAGGTGGCTGCATAGTGAAGAAGCATCAGTAACAATGCATGGTTACCGTCTATTCTCTCTGTGTAAACCTGGAGAATGTGCAAAGTACAATCCTTTATCTTGCTGAACACTCCCAGCCATCCAAGGCAGGTATTTCTAGCCTCATTTTATAAGTGAATAAACTAAGGCCCAGCAAGATTAAGCGACTGCCCAACATCACACAGGTGCTAAGTGAGGAGCTTAGCTTTGAGTTTAGAACCTCTGAAGGAAGCAGTGAGAATCTGAGGGTGGGGATCTTGTGTTCTGCACCTTTAGCCCATGTTTCTGCTCTACTTCAGTGCAGCCCGAGCTTGCTCTGCAGCACCCCAGGCCTCTTGTGGTCTGGCTTCAGCTGACCTCCGCAGGCACTCTGTCATCGTTTCCGCCCCAGGCACTCTGTACTTCCGGTTCTCTCCGCTTTTTGCTATCCCCTTTAGAACAGACTCACAGTTCTTCCTATAAAACTATTCTCTGGGTCCATTCTGCTGGGCGTAATGCTCCCTACTCTTTGCAGAGCTGGAGAAACAGGGACAAGAGCAACTTATTTCAGACAAGGCCTTGCAAAATGGAGGTGTAAGCAAGGTGCCCAGGTGTGCAGGGTACCAGAGACCAATTCAGCCAACAAGCTCACAGTCTCTTCCTATGTGCCAGGCCCTGGGCACTGATGCTGGATTCTGATTTCTTGAGAGAAGTGGCAAGGTGGAGAAGTTGGGGAGAGTGCAAAAGCTTGGATGCAGGAGAGTCTGCCAGCTTCCATCTTTCAGCCCTTGCACAGCATGAGAAAAGGGCTAAGTGCATGTGACATTCTAGGGCCGAAAAAACCCACACTGCCACATAGTCTGCTCGGACTCCTAGGGCCATGTGTTACAGAGTGGAACTGTCCCATAGGGTTTTCTTGGCTGTAATACTTAACAGAAGCAGATCACCAGGTCTTCCTTCTGTGGCGCCACTGAGTGGGTTCAAACCACCAACCTTTAGGTTAGTAGTCAAGGGCAAACCATTTGCTCCATCCAGGGACACATCAGTCTAAAATCAGAGGCCGCTAGGCTGGGACTCTTTGTTTCTCCTGTCACCTCTGTTCTTTCTTCCAGAATTGGGATGCTGGAATTTAGTGACTTGGAAATTTTCCTGATAGCGATGCACTGAGCCGAGGAGTTGGGAGAAGAGCAGAGATGGGGAAAGGCTGCTGCCACGGCTGGGGCCCAGGCCCAGGCTTTCCTGGTGTTGTCCTCTTTTAGGTGTCTGTGCGTCTAGCATGGTGGACAGGTCCCTGCCAGGCCCCAGGAGCAGCTGCTCTGAACCTCTGAAAGGGGTCCCGGGAGTGTGTTTAGAAAGAGCAGTGCCTGCTGCCCTGGACAAGGAGACTAGGAGGCCACTTTTACACTGTCCAGGTTCCTCATGTGAATAAAAAGCAAACAAATAAAAAACACCAACCCGTTGCCATTGAGTCAGTTCTGACTCATAGCGACCCTATAGGACAGAGTAGAACCGCCCCCATAGGATTTCCAAGGAGCAGCTGGTGGATTTGAACTGCCAACCTTTTGGTTAACAGCTGAGCTCTTAACCACTGCACCACCAGAGCTCCTCTGATGCGTCTAGAGGCTGAATATTTCCATGGGGGTTGGCTTTTTAACATTAAAATTTAATTTAATGGAAAAGGCATTGAAGACTGATAGATGATAGAGAGATGGAGAGATGGAGAGATAGACAACAAATAAAGCAAATATAACAAAATATTAATTGTGGAATCTAGGTGGTGGGTGTAGAGGTGTTCACTGACCCATTCTTCCAACTTTTTTGTATGTTTGAACAATTTCAAAATAAAATGTTTGGAGGGGGTTCACCTGCCAGTCCAGATTGAACACATTCTCTTTCTGCATGTCCATGTCCCAGGAAAAGCTTCACAACATGCCCTTTGAACAGTCCAGCCTGAAGGAGGCCCCCTCTACTTCTGCGGGGGGCTTTACCTAGAAATAAGGTCACTCGAGTTCCAATCCCTGCTTGGACAGTGATTTGCTGTGTGGTGTCCCTGGGCAAGTTATTTCCTCTTATATACCCATTTTGTGATCTAACTTTATAAAAGACTTTCCAGGAGAGGACAAGAATTCCTGGGTTTGGGGAAGGAGGTTCCTTGGCCTTGCATTTTAACTAGTTTTTCTCAACCACAAGAGGGCGCTGCGAGTTTACGGCCTTAAAGTAGGTGCTGGCAGAGTGGTCCCAGCCTGGCTTGTGCAGATATGCAGCGAGAGGCGTGGTCGCTTTAGGTTTAGGTTCGAGTGGAACCCGTCCGCAGAGGGGTGAGGCTCCACCCGAGGGTCAGGTGTGGGTGGGGCTGGCTCTCCTCTATCCATTCACAGTTTCAAAACCACGTCCACATTTTAGGTATCTGTTAGAGCAGCCCCCCACTCTCGGTACCACATTCTGTCTTAGTTATCTAGTGCTGCCACAACAGAAATATCACAAGTGGATGGCTCCAACAAAAAGAAATCCGTTTCCTCACAGTCTAGCAGGCTAGAAGCCCAAATTCAGGTTGTCAGCTCCAGGGAAAGGCTTTTTCTCTCTGTTGGCTCTGGAGGAAGTTCCTTCTCATCAATCTTCCCCTGGACTAGGAACTTCTCGGTGCAGGAACGCTAAGTCCAAAGGACATGCTCTGCTCCCAGCACTGCTTTCTTGTGGTACAATGTCTCTCCATCTCCCTGCTTGCTTCTCTTTTCCACATCCCAAAAGAAACTTGCTCAAGACACAACCCAACCCTGCAGATTGAGTCTTGACACATCAATACAACCGCTGCCCATACCCCCTCACAACATCGTAGAGGCAGGACCCACATCAGATGACAAAATGGTAGACGGTCACACAACACCAGGAATCATGGCCCAGCCAAACTGACACACACACTTTTGGGGGACACAATTCAATCCGTGACAGATGGTGAGACTTTGTCTCAAGTTCTTTGGACACATTATCAGGAGGGACCAGTTCCTGGAGAAGGCTATCACGCTTGGTAAAGTACAGGGTGAGTAAAAAAGGGGAAGATCCTCGATGAGATGGATTGACACAGTGGCTGCAACAATGGGCTCAAACATAACAATGATTGTGAGGATGGTGTTTTGTTCTGCTGCACATGGGGTCACTATGAGTCGGAACTGACTCGACAGCACCTAACAACAGTAACAGTTTTAATATGGCTCTAGTCTCCAGAAGATAAATTTTAAAAATTTAGGGTGACTGTTTACATCAAAAATAGCAGTTATATAGCACTTAAGGTTTAAAAGTGGGTTCACTGGCATTAATCATTTAAGTAGCATATGAGGTGATCTGATCATATCTGAATTATAGGTGTGGGAAGACCGTGACCCGCCCCGGATCACACAGGCAAGAAATGTGCAGCCAGGACTAGAACCTCTTCTGAGCGCAGTTTCTGCTCTCTTCTAAGGTATTTTTGGCAGAGGAAAAGCCTTCCACAGAAATGGTTTTACTTGGGCTGTCCAAAATATAAACTCAATAGTTCATATTCCAATTTTGGATTCCTGGGAGTTGGGGAAATTTTAAGCACTAGAAAAAAAGTTGGGAGGCATGACCTTCACTTTTCTTCATTCTGTAACTTTTCATTCATGAGCACCTGGGTGCACTTCAGGAGAAAGCATTTGTCATGGGTAATATTTCTGAAAACAGGCGCTGGGTTGGATAGAAGCGTAGTTGGAGATGATTGCAAAACATGGCTGGGGCAGCAGGGGGCAGCCTGGAGCTTTGCATCCTCCAGCAGGCCTAAAGAGTCACCAATTAACCTCTTGTTTAGTCCTTCCAAGGCCCCGGAAAGAAAGACAGGCATCTTTGTTTTTAAGGTTTGAGGCACCATAATTTGCTATGACCATTTCCAATCAAAGATAAAAAACAAGTGTGGAGCCGAAGAATGTGTTAGTGAAGGAACTCAGCAGTGGGCTTGGTGGGGAAAAGAGGCTCAACAAAGACCCCTTAGTTAACAGAGGATGGGGTGGGGGTGGGGGGACGGTATTCCAAACATTTAAAAACAGGTGGGGCCCAGGTGCCAGCCAATCAGAAGGATGCTGGAGGCCTGCTGCTGTGCAGGTGTGGGGAGTCCTGGGCAGTAGGTATTTACCAATTGGTACGGAGGTATATATTTTAACAGCTGCACCAGTAATTCGCCCTGGGTGAGGGTCATGGGGCCTGACGTAAATGCTCTCAAGATTCCTTCCTGCTTAAAATGTGTGGTTTTAAGTGGTTCGTGGAATTAATAATGATTAAAAACAT